TCTCATCAAAATAATACAAATTCCACCAACTTTATACAGATTCCCACCGACCCAATAAAAAAACATCAACCCAAAAAGAAACTCTCCAAAAATAAATAATCCCACCAAATCTATACATAATCACGCTAACCCATTCAAATGCCACATATCCATACACATTCCACCAACCCATACAAATGCCACCAATGCATACAAATGCCACCAACTCAAAAAAAAACCCACAAACCCTTACAAATTCCACCCACCCATACGAATTCCTGTAAACTTCCAGACAAAAATGTCTCTGCCCACAGATCTCTTCCATGTGTTTAGTAAACAAATTATAAATACATGTCCGGGATTTCCCGGTTTCTGGTCATTATTTATCTGGTGCACTCCAATTCCATGAAGTGTTCCAGAGAGGATGTATTTAGTTTCAATCAAAGCTATGACCCTATTCTCTCTGTGTGTCTGTGTGTCTGTCTGTGTGTCTGTGTGTCTGTCTGTGTGTGTGTGTGTGTCTGTGTGTCTGTGTGTCTGTGTGTCTGTGTGTCTGTGTGTGTGTGTGTGTCTGTCTGTCTGTCTGTCTGTCTGTCTGTCTGTCTGTCTGTCTGTCTGTCTGTCTGTCTGTCTGTCTGTCTGTCTGCCTGCCTGTCTGGCTGTCTGTCTGTCTGTCTGTCTGTCTGTCTGTCTGTCTGTGTTTCTGTCTGTGTTTCTGTCTGTGTTTCTGTCTGTGTTTCTGTCTGTGTTTCTGTCTGTGTTTCTGTCTGTGTTTCTGTCTGTCTGTCTGTCTGTCTGTCTGTCTGTCTGTCTGTCTGTCTGTCTGTCTGTCTGTCTGTCTGTCTGTCTGTCTGTCTGTCTGTCTGTCTGTCTGTCTGTCTGTCTGTCTGTCTGTCTGTCTGTCTGTCTGTCCGTCTGTCCGTCTGTCCGTCCGTCCGTCCGTCCGTCCGTCCGTCCGTCTGTCTGTCTGGCTGTCTGTCTGTCTGTCTGTCTGTCTGTCTGTCTGTCTGTCTGTCTGTCTGTCTGTCTGTCTGTCTGTCTGTCTGTCTGTCTGTCTGTCTGTGCGTTTGTTCGTCCGTCCGAACTTAATTACGTCTGTAGGTTTATTTAAAATTTTGCTGCATGATAAAGCAGATTCTTATAAATGGCAAATTAATTTCATTACAAATAATTTGTATACAAGAAAGTTTAATTTAGGATTTTGTGAAATGTGAATATCTTAATTTTTTAACAAACGTTTAAGTTGAAATTAAGTGTAATTTGAATCTTAATTTTTAACATATTCGTGTATTAATTTGAATTTAGAAAGCGCCTTAATTATTCGTATTTATAAGCAGTGTGTTGCGTCATCCTTTGATAGACTGACTCATATAAGCTCAGCTAGAGTCATCGGTAGAATTTAGCTGACGGTTGCTATAGGAACCGAGTCACTAAACACCAGTGATGGGATATTTGTGCAGGGCAAAATGACGAATAAATGCTAAAACCACCGTAATAATCGTGTTCTTTTAAGCCAAACTCGTCACCCTTAGAACGTACCTACAGCTAGACTCTATGCCACCCTTACCTACAGCTACACTCTATGCCAGCCCTTACAACGTACATACAGCTACACTCTATGCTAGCCCTTACAACGTACCTACAGCTACACTCTATGCCAGCCCTTACAACGTACCTACAGCTACACTCTATGCCACCCTTACAACGTACCTACAGCTACACTCTATGCTAGCCCTAACAACGTACCTACAGCTACACTCTATGCCAACCTTACAACGTACCTACAGCTACACTCTATGCCAACCTTACAACGTACCTACAGCTACACTCTATGCCACCCTTACAACGTACCTACAGCTACACTCTATGCTAGCCTTACAACGTACCTACAGCTACACTCTATGCCACCCTTACAACGTACCTACAGCTACACTCTATGCCAGCCTTACAACGTACCTACAGTTACACTCTATGCCACCATTACAACGTACCTACAGCTACACTCTATGCTAGCCCTTACAACGTACCTACAGTTACACTCTATGCCACCATTACAACGTACCTACAGCTACACTCTATGCTAGCCCTTACAACGTACCTACAGCTACACTCTATGCTAGCCCTTACAACGTACCTACAGCTACACTCTATGCCAGCCTTACAACGTACTATAGCTACACTCTATGCCACCCTTACCTACAGCTACACTCTATGCCACCCTTACAACGTACCCACAGCTACACTCTATGCCAGCCTTACAACGTACCTACAGTTACACTCTATGCCACCATTACAACGTACCTACAGCTACACTCTATGCTAGCCCTTACAACGTACCTACAGTTACACTCTATGCCACCATTACAACGTACCTACAGCTACACTCTATGCTAGCCCTTACAACGTACCTACAGCTACACTCTATGCTAGCCCTTACAACGTACCTACAGCTACACTCTATGCCAGCCTTACAACGTACTATAGCTACACTCTATGCCACCCTTACCTACAGCTACACTCTATGCCACCCTTACAACGTACCCACAGCTACACTCTATGCTAGCCTTACAGCGTACTTACAGCTGCACTCTATTCCTGTCTTAACACGTACCTACAGCTACACTCTATGCCAGCCTTACAAAGTACCTACAGCTACACTCTATGCCACCATTACAACGTACCTACAGTTACACTCTATTCCACCCTTACAACGTACTTACAGCTACACTATATGCCAGCCATACAACGTACCTACAGCTACACTCTATGCCACCCTTACAACGTACCTACAGTTACACTCTATGCCACCCTTACAACGTACCTACAGCTACACTCTATGCCAGCCCTAACTACGTACCTACAGTTACACTCTATTCCACCCTTACAACGTACCTACAGCTACACTATATGCCACCCTTACAACGAACCTACAGCTACACTATATGCCAGCCTTACAACGTACCTACAGCTACACTCTATGCCGACCCTAGTAATAAAGTTAGGACATCACAAGATCCACAAAATGAAGGGGGTTGGGTTTATATAAACTGGATGACTTCAATCAAGCGGAGTTTACATAACCTGGATAACTTGAGTCTAGCCAGCAGGCAAGAACTTTTGATCATACATGACTGAACTTTATTGAAGTCAAATAATTGACTTAACATCCGGCTTACGTGGTAGGTGTAGCTCTGCACTCCACTGGATCCTAAAAGGAAAGCAGAGTTTGATGATTCAGGCTTCATATCTACAAGGGTTGGGTTTATTGATGTCGTATCTACCACAGTCAGGTTTATTAATGTTTTATGTAGTCGGGTTAGGTTTATTGATGTCGTATCTACCACGGTTAGGTTTATTAATGTTTGATGTAGTCGGGTTAGGTTTATTGATGTCGTATCTACCACGGTCAGGTTTATTAATGTTTTATGTAGTCGGGTTAGGTTTATTGATGTCGTATCTACCACGGTTAGGTTTATTAATGTTTTATGTAGTCGGGTTAGGTTTATTGATGTCGTATCTACCACGGTTAGGTTTAATGTTTTATGTAGTCGAGTTTGGTTTATTGATGTCGTATCTACCACGGTTAGCTTTATTAATGTTTTATGTAGTCGGGTTAGGTTTATTAATGTTTTATGTAGTCGGGTTAGGTTTATTGATGTCGTATCTACCACAGTCAGGTTTAATGTTTTATGTAGTCGGGTTAGGTTTATTGATAACACGAGCTTTGACCGCAGTGGGATAGTTTTGTCTGTGTCATATTTACTCTTGGTTAGATTTATTGTCATATCTACTTTGGGGTAGGGTTATATATATAACAATTTTAAAACTATTTTATTTGGTGCGCGATAGTTTTTGGTCATGTAGCTCTGTTGTATTAACAGTTTTAAAGTATTGAAACAAAAATTGCATTAAAAGCATTTTAATAACAAGCTTTTATGTAATAATGCACTAAAAAGAAGAAAATAAAGTTTACATTACTTTTTGTGAAAAATAAAATGTATTATTTGATTAATATTAAATATTCGTCTGTTGTCATCGTAGGTGCCCTTATCTAAAAATTTGAAAGAAATCGTTCCATTAAATGAATTCAAAAGATACATCTGACCACAGCCAGAGAAGCGGGAATTAAGGTCTACGAAAAAACTGATCAAACTGATGTATTTCCCTATTTACGATTTTCAATTCTTATCTGTGGCTTTAATCCCTGTGGCTTTATTCCCTGTGGCTTTATTCCCTGTGACTTTATTCCCTGTGACTTTATTCCCTGTGACTTTATTCCTTGTGACTTTATTCCCTGTGACTGTATTCCCTGTGACTTTATTCCCTGTGACTTTATTCCCTGTGACTTTATTCCTTGTGTTTTGCATATCCTTTACCGCCTGAAGCTCCCAATTTCCAGAACTTTTATTTGTTCAGCCCTCCCCCCCCCCCCCCCCAGATCCTACTGTTAACAACACAAACATGAGTACATTTACACGTGTGTTGTCGCTTTATTTCGTGTTAAATCAAGCAACGCTTCTATAAATAGCTGTTTGTGGTTTCTTTACCGTGAGTTCATGATGTAAAAACACGTTTTTTTTATAAGGTTTTGTTGTCTACGGGGTTTTAATGTGTAACACAGTCAAAGTTTATTCGAATCTGGTATTTTAGAGGACAGGTAAAGGAAAACATGAAAAGAAAAAAGAAAAGAAGAGGATAAAGTTTGATGAGTAATGTTGAGGGTTCCAAAACGCCACAACACCAATCGCCGCTTACAACGCTTGATCGACTTGACACCCCCCCACTCCCCTTGCAGCAAGTCTTCGACTACCCCCCCCCCCCCCAACTCTCAGATGAAATAGAAGGAAAATATAATATATATTGAAATTTTAAGTGAATTCACGTGAAATTTTTTTCTAGTCCCCTATGCCTCTCCCCCGAGGAGAAAAAAAGACCAAAAACCCCCAACACAAGTCACCTCCCCTTATTGACCCTCCACTCTCTGAAAACCACTAAAATTTGTGTCTGTTAACCCACTACAGGTCGCTACAACGTGACGGTGACGTCAGTGAGTTCAAGGTCGCTTTCCTTGGCGTGGAACCACTTCGCTCACGGGGAGTTCGAGTACGTGGTGCTGTACCGGAAGTGGCGTCATCACCTGGACGTTACCGACTGGGACACGAGAGACGTAAGTCTTGGAGCATTGTACAGGCAGAACCTGCGTCATGCCGGGCAGTACCTGGGTCATGCCGGGCAGTACCTGCGTCATGCCGGGCAGAACCCAGGTCATGCCGGGCAGTACCTGGGTCATGCCGGGCAGTACCTGGGTCATGCCGGGCAGAACCTGGGTCATGCCGGGCAGTACCTGGGTCATGCCGGGCAGAACCCAGGTCATGCCGGGCAGTACCTGGGTCATGCTGGGCAGATCCTGGGTCATGCCGGGCAGTACCTGGGTCATGCCGGGCAGAACCTGGGTCATGCCGGGCAGTACCTGGGTCATGCTGTGCAGATCCTGGGTCATGCCGGGCAGTACCTGCGTCATGCTGTGCAGATCCTGGGTCATGCCGGGCAGTACCTGCGTCATGCCGGGCAGTACCTGGGTCATGCCGGGCAGAACCTGGGTCATGCCGGGCAGTACCTGGGTCATGCCGGGCTCATCTGTAGAAAAACAAAACTCATCTCGGTGTTATTCCTAGTGCTTTTGTGTTTAGTAGCGGGGAGGGGGTTGGGGGAAGTTGGGGCCATAATATTACCAGTGACTTTTTAATATATTTTATTCTTTGATTTTTTTCCTGTGATAGTTTCAATGAATTTTTCTCGAACATTTTTCTGTGACATTTATTTGTGACATATTTCTGTGACATTTATGTGACATGTTTCTGTGACACTTATTTGTGACATTTTTCTGTGACATTTATTTGTGACATATTTCTGTGACATTTATTTGTGACATATTTCTGTGACATTTATTTGTGACATATTTCTGTGACATTTATTTGTGACATATTTCTGTGACATTTATTTGTGACATATTTCTGTGACATTTATGTGACATGTTTCTGTGACATTTATTTGTGACATATTTCTGTGACATTTATTTGTGACATATTTCTGTGACATTTATTTGTGACATATTTCTGTGACATTTATGTGACATGTTTCTGTGACATTTATGTGTGACCTGTGTCTGTGACATGTTGTGTGACATATTTCTGTGACATTTATGTGTGACATATTTCTGTGACATTTATGTGCGACATGTATCTGTGACATTGCGTGTGACATGTGTTCAATGAATGTTCTCCACTCTACCCTGATTCCAGATGGGGGAGCGTCCAAGTGGAACGGTCAAGAACTTGACCCCTGGCACCGTCTACCTGCTCAAGGTCTCCTTCTGGCTGACCGGCACCAGACTGGGCAACACGTCAGAGACGGTCATCGTGGACACGTCACGTAAGTCTGGCATTGGCGTTCATTCACTTGTCGTTTATTATCTGTCATTCTTTATTTGTAATTTATAAACTGACATTCATAAACTGACATTCAAAAACTAATAATTCAGTATCTGTCATTTATGATATGTCCTTCATAACTGTCATTCATTAATTTTTCATTCATTGTCTGTCATCAGTTATCTATCATTCGTTGTCTGTCATTCATTAACTAGTCGTAATTTAACTTGTCGGTTATTTTTTCGTTATTCATCTACAATGAAAAAAAAACTTTTTTTCAAGCTTTTTACAATTTATAATTGGTTAGGTTTTTTAGAAAAGAAATAGTTATGACGTTAAATATCTATCTGGTAGAAATTGACCATTATTTGTTTAATTACACTATCGCCCATGGTCAAACTAAATAACCGACTGCCCCCTCCCCCCCCTCTACAGCCGCCGAGTGGTGTGAGAACAACGGGCTACAGTACTACGTGGGTGAGCAGTTCACGCACGAGTGTGAGGACAACTGCACGTGCTTGGCTGATGGCGAGGTGCGCTGTGACCCGCTCTGCCCAGAGGTCGGCATACCCGAGCTGCCAGAACCCGGGTGTCACGTGATCATAGAGGAGTGTTGCACCTACAGGCTGGTGTGTCCTGTACCGAGTGGTTAGTGTATACAAACACGCACACACATACACATATACACACGAACACAAACACAAACACGAACACTAACACAACACCCACACACAAACACTAACATACAAAACCACACACACACACATACACACATACACACACGCATACACACACTAACACTAACACAAACACCCACACACGAACACTAACACACACACACGCACACATACACACACTGACATACAAACACACACACACACACGCACACATACACACACTGACATACAAACACACACACACACACACACATATATATATATATATATATATATATATATATATATATATATATATATATATATAATCTTCACCACCTACCCATTTGTCATACCCACAATTCTTCCTGTTTATATGTATCCGCTTTTCCCATAACTCATCACTTCAGCTCAAATGTAAAGTTCTTAGTTTTCTGTATCTACATTAGTATATGTGTTTGTACACTTGTATACTTCACTATGTGTATGTACACTTGTATACTTCACTATGTGTATGTACACTTGTATACTTCACTATGTGTATGTACAATTGTATACTTCACTATGTGTATGTTCACTTGTATACTTCACTATGTGTATGCTCACTTGTATACTTCACTATGTGTATGTACAATTGTATACTTCACTATGTGTATGTTCACTTGTATACTTCACTATGTGTATGCTCACTTGTATACTTCACTATGTGTATGTACAATTGTATACTTCACTATGTGTATGTTCACTTGTATACTTCACTATGTGTATGCTCACTTGTATACTTCACTATGTGTATGTACACTTGTATACTTCACTATGTGTATGCTCACTTGTATACTTCACTATGTGTATGCTCACTTGTATACTTCACTATGTGTATGTACACTTGTATACTTCACTATGTGTATGTACACTTGTATACTTCACTATGTGTATGTACACTTGTATACTTCACTATGTGTATGTACACTTGTATACTTCACTATGTGTATGTACATTTGTATACTTCACTATGTGTATGTACACTTGTATACTTCACTATGTGTATGTACACTTGTATACTTCACTATGTGTATGTACACTTGTATACTTCACTATGTGTATGCTCACTTGTATACTTCACTATGTGTATGCTCACTTGTATACTTCACTATGTGTATGTACACTTGTATAATTCACTATGTGTATGTACACTTGTATACCTCACTATGTGTATGTACACTTGTATACTTCACTATGTGTATGCTCACTTGTATACTTCACTATGTGTATGCTCACTTGTATACTTCACTATGTGTATGCTCACTTGTATACTTCACTATGTGTATGTACACTTGTATACTTCACTATGTGTATGTACACTTGTATACTTCACTATGTGTATGCTCACTTGTATACTTCACTATGTGTATGCTCACTTGTATACTTCACTATGTGTATGCTCACTTGTATACTTCACTATGTGTATGTACACTTGTATACTTCACTATGTGTATGTACACTTGTATACTTCACTATGTGTATGTACGCTTGTATACTTCACTATGTGTATGTTCACTTGTATACTTCACTATGTGTATGCTCACTTGTATACTTCACTATGTGTATGTACACTTGTATACTTCACTATGTGTATGTACACTTGTATACTTCACTATGTGTATGTACACTTGTATACTTCACTATGTGTATGTACACTTGTATACTTCACTATGTGTATGCTCACTTGTATACTTCACTATGTGTATGCTCACTTGTATACTTCACTATGTGTATGCTCACTTGTATACTTCACTATGTGTATGTACACTTGTATACTTCACTATGTGTATGTACACTTGTATACTTCACTATGTGTATGTACACTTGTATACTTCACTATGTGTATGTACACTTGTATACTTCACTATGTGTATGCTCACTTGTATACTTCACTATGTGTATGCTCACTTGTATACTTCACTATGTGTATGTACACTTGTATACTTCACTATGTGTATGCTCACTTGTATACTTCACTATGTGTATGCTCACTTGTATACTTCACTATGTGTATGCTCACTTGTATACTTCACTATGTGTATGTACACTTGTATACTTCACTATGTGTATGCTCACTTGTATACTTCACTATGTGTATGCTCACTTGTATACTTCACTATGTGTATGTACACTTGTATACTTCACTATGTGTATGTACACTTGTATACTTCACTATGTGTATGCTCACTTGTATACTTCACTATGTGTATGTACACTTGTATACTTCACTATGTGTATGCTCACTTGTATACTTCACTATGTGTATGTACACTTGTATACTTCACTATGTGTATGTACACTTGTATACTTCACTATGTGTATGTACACTTGTATACTTCACTATGTGTATGTACACTTGTATACTTCACTATGTGTATGCTCACTTGTATACTTCACTATGTGTATGCTCACTTGTATACTTCACTATGTGTATGTACACTTGTATACTTCACTATGTGTATGCTCACTTGTATACTTCACTATGTGTATGCTCACTTGTATACTTCACTATGTGTATGCTCACTTGTATACTTCACTATGTGTATGCTCACTTGTATACTTCACTATGTGTATGTACACTTGTATACTTCACTATGTGTATGCTCACTTGTATACTTCACTATGTGTATGTACACTTGTATACTTCACTATGTGTATGTACACTTGTATACTTCACTATGTGTATGCTCACTTGTATACTTCACTATGTGTATGCTCACTTGTATACTTCACTATGTGTATGTACACTTGTATACTTCACTATGTGTATGTACACTTGTATACTTCACTATGTGTATGTACACTTGTATACTTCACTATGTTTATGTACACTTGTATACTTCACTATGTGTATGCTCACTTGTATACTTCACTATGTGTATGTACACTTGTATACTTCACTATGTGTATGCTCACTTGTATACTTCACTATGTGTATGTACAATTGTATACTTCACTATGTGTATGTTCACTTGTATACTTCACTATGTGTATGCTCACTTGTATACTTCACTATGTGTATGCTCACTTGTATACTTCACTATGTGTATGCTCACTTGTATACTTCACTATGTGTATGTACAATTGTATACTTCACTATGTGTATGCTCACTTGTATACTTCACTATGTGTATGTTCACTAGTGACCGTTAGTATGGCAACATCCAGTGAAGTATAAAATTCTGTGGAGTTTCAAGACGGATCTTGTATCGTGTGCCAATGACGTCATCAGGTGCCACTACTCTCCCCCAGATCCTTGCCTGGCTGATAACACGAGCTTCACCCACGGGCAGAACTTCGTCCTGGGGTGCCGGAACTGTGTCTGCAACCACGGGCAGGTGGAGTGCGCCTACCCGGACTTCTGTGAGGTGATGGAGCCAACCCTGGCCTGCCCCAACCCCCAGAGCAGGGAGGTGGAGGGGGGATGCTGCCCCGAGTGGTTCTGTGGTAAGTTGGGGGGGGGGGGGGTGCTCGCAGTGGTTGTGTGGTGATATTTTGATGCCACATTAGAACTTATAAAATTCTGCATGTTGAGCGATTAATGGCTTGATAACATAAAGAGGTAACCCATCATCTCATGACTCACTATTATATGCTGGGTATTTAAAAACGACTGAGCTGACTCAGTCAATGTACTCCAAATCTGAAAGTTTTTGCGTGTACTCTGAATAAAGCAGCTTCTTACAAACAAATATAAAAGTTCGTTGCTGTAGAATGGATATAATTATAGCAAATAGATTAAAAAATCTTCTGAAGTAACAGTTCTATTTAACCCTTTCGTGATCGTTGCTACCGTATCATTTCGCTAGTAAAAAAAAAAAACCCGCACTTCTAATGTTCGCATTGCTGCCAAATTGTTATGTTTTTTTTCAGCTAAACATTGGTTTAAGAAACAAAACAGCCAGGCTTAGATCTACATGTTACAGGGATAACAAAAACATTTTTTTTATTCCAAGAAAAGTTTTTTTTTTTTTTTTTTTGGTTCTGCATGGGTTAAACCAATAATTTCCCTTGCCTACTATTGTTACCGTCATTGAATTAATTGAATAAATTAAAATTGCCTGTTGTATAGGGGATGTGAATCTACGAGAACCGTTAAACCAATTATTTCCCTTGCCTGTTGTAGAGAAGGCGTGAATCTACGAGAACCGTTAAACCAATTATTTCCCTTGCCTGTTGTAGAGGGGACGTGCTACTACGAGAATCGAACCTACAACCACCTGGAGTACTTCACCAGCTCCCAGTGCGGCCTGTGCCAGTGCAGCTCCGTCAACGGTGCACAGTGTGCGTCAGAGTGCGTCCCTGTGACGCTGGTCCTGCCTGACGCCGCCTGCCCCGACCCCCACATCCGGCGCGACGGGTGCTGTGAGACGCTGCACTGCTACGACCCCAGTCTAGGTCAGTGGCTGTTTTTTTTATTCGTGATGGGTGGGTTTTTGTAAAGTTGGTGGTTTATTTGTGATGGGTGGGTTTTTTAAAGTGGTGGTTTATTTGTGATGGGTGGGTTTTTGTAACGTGGTGATATCTAATTTTATTGGTGGGTTTTGTAAAGGGTGGTTTTAATTGTATGCGTGAGTTGTTGTTTTTTTTCCTGCTGTTAAATGATGATCGGTCATCTCTACAGATATCACACATTATCTTCGGCGCATGTTCGCGCTGTCCTACAGCCCGATGACCTTGACCCTGAGTTTTGAGGTCGACCCTCAGCCCGTGGACCAGGGATTGCCGCTGTACTGTCAGTACGAGATCCTCTACGCCAACGCCACTGACCACTTGGGTAGGTGGACTCCCCTCACTCACCTCTAGGGATTAATTCACCCACCTCTAGGGATTAATGCACTAACCTGTAGGGATTAATGCACTCGCCTGTAGGGGTTAATGCACTAACCTGTAGGGATTAATTCACTCACCTGTAGGGATTAATTCACCCACCTCTAGGGATTAATGCACTAACCTGTAGGGATTAATGCACTCGCCTGTAGGGGTTAATGCACTAACCTGTAGGGATTAATTCACTCACCTCTAGGGATTAATGCACTCACCTGTAGGGATTAATTCACTCACCTGTAGGGATTAATGCACTCACCTGTAGGGATTAATGCACTCACCTGTAGGGATTAATTCACTCACCTGTAGGGATTAATTCACTCACCTGTAGGGATTAATGCACTCACCTTTAGGGATTAATTCACTCACCTCTAGGGATTAATGCACTCACCTGTAGGGATTAATTCACTCACCTGTAGGGATTAATGCACTCACCTGTAGGGATTAATTCACTCACCTGTAGGGATTAATTCACTCACCTGTAGGGATTAATTCACTCCTCTGTAGGGATTAATGCACTCACCTGTAGGGATTAATTCACTCACCTGTAGGGATTAATGCACTCATCTGTAGGGATTAATTCACTCACCTGTAGGGATTAATTCACTCACCTGTAGGGATTAATTCACTCACCTGTAGGGATTAATTCACTCACCTGTAGGGATTAATGCACTCATCTGTAGGGATTAATTCACTCACCTGTAGGGATTAATGCACTCATCTGTAGGGATTAATTCACTCACCTGTAGGGATTAATTCACTCACCTGTAGGGATTAATTCACTCACCTGTAGGCATTAATGCACTCATCTGTAGGGATTAATTCACTCACCTGTAGGGATTAATGCACTCACCTGTAGGGATTAATTCACTCACCTGTAGGGATTAATTCACTCACCTGTAGGGATTAATTCACTCACCTGTAGGGATTAATGCACTCACCTGTAGGGATTAATTCACTCACCTGTAGGGATTAATTCACTCACCTGTAAGGATTAATTCACTCACCTGTAGGGATTAATGCACTCACCTGTAGGGATTAATTCACTCACCTGTAGGGATTAATTCACTCACCTGTAGGCATTAATGCACTCACCTGTAGGGATTAATTCACTCACCTGTAGGGATTAATGCACTCACCTGTAGGGATTAATTCACTCACCTGTAGGGATTAATGCACTCACCTGTAGGGATTAATTCACTCACCTGTAGGGATTAATTCACTCACCTGTAGGGATTAATGCACTCACCTGTAGGGATTAATTCACTCACCTGTAGGGATTAATTCACTCACCTGTAGGCATTAATGCACTCATCTGTAGGGATTAATTCACTCACCTGTAGGGATTAATGCACTCACCTGTAGGCATTAATGTACTCATCTGTAGGGATTAATTCACTCACCTGTAGGGATTAATTCACTCACCTGTAGGGATTAATTCACTCACCTGTAGGCATTAATGCACTCATCTGTAGGGATTAATTCACTCACCTGTAGGGATTAATGCACTCACCTGTAGGCATTAATGCACTCATCTGTAGGGATTAATTCACTCACCTGTAGGGATTAATTTACTCACCTGTAGGGATTAATTCACTCACCTGTAGGGATTAATTCACTCACCTGTAGGGATTAATTCACTCACCTGTAGGGATTAATGCACTCACCTGTAGGCATTAATGCACTCATCTGTAGGGATTAATTCACTCAACTGTAGGGATTAATTCACTCACCTGTAAGGATTCATTCACTGACCTGTAGGAATTAACTCAGTTACCTGTACCGGCTTATTACTTTAAATGTGGTAGTCTTTAGCACAGTCATTGTATCCATCTTCATACTACGCTTTTAGTAGAACCCCACCCCTTTGATCACACCTGCTAGTATTGCTCCCCCCCCCCCCCACCAAATAAATATTGTCCCACACTGATAGTCCCCACACTACCCCACATCATCACCCCCTCTTATATTACCACTCGCCCATAACTCCACTCTGTAACTATACATCCCCAAACCTGTCGGTATATACCTGCACACCAAACCTCCCCCAACCCACCTACAACCCACCAACAACCCACCTACATCCACCAACAACCCACCAACAACCCACCTACAACCCACCTACAACCCACCTACAACCCACCTACAACCCACCTACAACCCACCTACAACCCACCTACAACCCACCTACAACCCACCTACAACCCACCTACAACCCACCTACAACCCACCTACAACCCACCTACAACCCACCAACAACCCACCTACAACCCACCTACAACCCACCTACAACCCACCTACAACCCACCTACAACCCACCAACAACCCACCTACAACCCACCTACAACCCACCTACAACCCACCAACAACCCACCCACCAACAACCCACCTACAACCCACCAACAACCCACCTACATCCCACCTACAACCCACCTACAACCCACCTACAACCCACCTACAACCCACCCACCAACAACCCACCAACCTACAACCCTCCAACAACCCTCCAACAACCCACCAACAACCCACCAACAACCCACCTACAACCCACCTACAACCCACCTACAACCCACCTACAACCCACCAACAACCCACCAACAACCCACCTACAACCCACCCATCAACAACCCACCAACAACCCACCTACAACCCACCTACAACCCACCAACAACCCACCTACAACCCACCCACCAACAACCCACCTACAACCCACCTACAACCCACCTACAACCCACCAACAACCCACCAACAACCCACCAACAACCCACCTACAACCCACCAACAACCCACCAACAACCCACCAACAACCCACCTACAACCCACCTACAACCCACCAACAACCCACCTACAACCCACCTACAACCCACCAACAACCCACCTACAACCCACCAACAACCCACCTACAACCCACCTACAACCCACCTACAACCCACCAACAACCCACCTACAACCCACCAACAACCCACCTACAACCCACCTACAACCCACCCACCTACAACCCACCAACAACCCACCTACAACCCACCAACAACCCACCAACAACCCACCAACAACCCAACAACAACCCACCAACAACCCACCAACAACCCACCTACAACCCACCCACCAACAACCCACCTACAACCCACCAACAACCTACCTACAACCCACCTACAACCCACCTACAACCCACCTACAACCCACCTACAACCCACCAACAACCCAACAACAACCCACCTACAACCCACCTACAACCCACCTACAACCCACCAACAACCCAACAACAACCCACCTACAACCCACCTACAACCCTCCTGACTAACCTGATGACCCGGTGTCCCCAGTCACGTGGCAGAGCCGACAGGTTCAACCAATCGACGTCGTCCTCCAGCACGACCAGCCAATCCAGGTCGAGGAGACCTTGTCACGTGACAGCGCCATTGTGGTGGGCGGCCGCGCCTACGTCACGCTGTCCGGCATGCACCCCGACACGACCTACTACGTCAAGATCATCCCCCTGGACTCTATCCGACACGACATGGCGGCCGGCGGTCAAGCTCAGCTCAACTACAGCGACACGAAGATCTCCATGATGGTCGTGGTCAAGACTAAACCGCTGGGCAATGGTGAGTGTTCAACCAAAGTTAAATGGTGTCAAACTCATGGTTAACTTATTCACTAAATAAGTAACGGCGTTCCCCGTGTACTTCCACCCAGACACTTCCTGTTTCCGGGACGGCAAAGAGATCCCCCACAACGAGGCTGTGTCCAGTGCCTGCGGCCAGTCGTGTCGGTGCCACCTTGGTCAGGTCTTGTGCCAGAGTCTCTGCGAGTCGGAGCACCACGTGCTGGCTGCGTCCACCACCTGCCCCCACCCCCACCTGGAGCAGACGGGGGAGGAGTGCTGTCCCAGGTGGGGGTGCAGACCTTCAGGTGAGTGTCGTTGGTCAGTTCAGGTCAAGTGGGATTAGTCAACAGTAGGTCAAGTGGGATTAGTCAACAGCAGGTCAAGTGGGATTAGTCAACAGCAGGTCAAGTGGGATTAGTAAACAGCAGGTCAAGTGGGATTAGTCAACAGCAGGTCAAGTGGGATTAGTAAACAGCAGGTCAAGTGGGATTAGTCAACAGCAGGTACAGTGGGATTAGTCAACAGCAGGTACAGTGGGATTAGTCAACAGCAGGTACAGTGGGATTAGTCAACAGCAGGTCAAGTGGGATTAGTCAACAGCAGGTCAAGTGGGATTAGTCAACAGCAGGTCAAGTGGGATTAGTCAACAGCAGGTCAAGTGGGATTAGTCAACAGCAGGTAAAGTGGGATTAGTCAACAGCAGGTAAAGTGGGATTAGTCAACAGCAGGTAAAGTGGGATTAGTCAACAGCAGGTAAAGTGGGATTAGTCAACAGCAGGTAAAGTGGGATTAGTCAACCGCAGGTAAAGTGGGATTAGTCAACAAGAACAGGTCAAGTGGGATTAGTCAACAGGAACAGGTAAAGTTGGATTAGTAAACAGCAACAGTTATATGTAAACATCACTAAAACAAAAGTACATGGTCAGCCTATGGATAACTTATGCTAACGTTAGTTATGACCTTAGTTTGTGTTCGACACACAACTTCATGACAACAGAGATACCAAAGTTTCTCTAACCTGTCCGCCATTTTGACGTGTCTCCTCCAGCCCCAGGGTGCCTTCACCATGGCGTCATGTTGTCTGACGGCCAGTCGCTCACGGAGGCGTGTCAGGTGTGCACGTGCGACAACGCCACGGTTCACTGCACCTCTGTCTGCCCACCTGCTGGTACCTCACCCCGGCCTAGCTGCCAGCTGGTCAACGTTAGTGGACAGTGTTGTCCGCAGTGGATGTGTCCGTTAGGTCAGTTGTGTCTTCTGGGTGTGTCTGCTAGGTGTGTCGTATCCGTGAGGTGTGTCCGCTCAGTCAGGTGTGTCCGTTAGGTGTGTCCGCTCAGTCAAGTGTGTCCGTTAGGTGTATCCGTCAGGTGTGTCCGTTGGGTGTGTCCATGAGATGTGTCCGTTAGGTGTGTTGTGTCTATGAAATGTGTCCGCAAGTTGATATAGTTGAGAACAAAATAAATATCCTTATACTCTGTTGACACACCTCCATAACTTTTCACCTTCCACCCCCCTCCCCCACCCCACAGAGTCTCACCCTCCCTACGGCGTCAAGTCCTCAATCCTTCTCCACCTTCTGGGCGGGTGTCGAACCCCCGTCTCCAGCTTTGGTGCCAGCGTGAGGCAGCAGCTGCTAGCGCGCGTGCAGGCGTCGTGTGCGGGCAGCCAGACACTGCTCACCCTCTGCCAGCACGTGCAGGCCACCGTCCTGTGCCCGGGGGTCGCCCAGACGGACGAGTTCACGGTCCGAAGCCGCCGGTCAGCCGGCACGGACCCGGCTAAAATACCGGTCGTGGTCTACGTGCAGAAGAATTTCAGGTGAGTCTATGTGGCCTAGTGGTAGAGCGTACAACTGCTGGTCTAGTGGTAGAGCGTACAACTGCTGGTCTAGTGGTAGAGCGTACAACTGCTGGTCTAGTGGTAGAGCGTACAACTGTTGGTCTAGTGGTAGAGCGTACAACTGCTGGCCTAGTGGTAGAGCGTACAACTGCTGGTCTAGTGGTAGAGCGTACAACTGCTAGCCTAGTGGTAGAGCGTACAACTGCTGGCCTAGTGGTAGAGCGTACAACTGCTGGTCTAGTGGTAGAGCGTACAACTGCTGGTCTAGTGGTAGAGCGTACAACTGCTGGTCTAGTGGTAGAGCGTACAACTGCTGGGCTAGTGGTAGAGCGTACAACTGCTGGGCTAGTGGTAGAGCGTACAACTGCTGGTCTAGTGGTAGAGCGTACAACTGCTGGTCTAGTGGTAGAGTGTACAACTGCTGGTCTAGTGGTAGAGCGTACAACTGCTGGTCTAGTGGTAGAGTGTACAACTGCTGGTCTGGTGGTAGAGCGTACAACTGCTGGTCTAGTGGTAGAGCGTACAACTGCTGGCCTAGTGGTAGAGTGTACAACTGCTGGTCTAGTGGTAGAGTGTACAACTGCTGGTCTAGTGGTAGAGCGTACAACTGCTGGTCTAGTGGTAGAGCGTACAACTGCTGGCCTAGTGGTAGAGCGTACAACTGCTGGCCTAGTGGTAGAGCGTACAACTGCTAGCCTGGTGGTAGAGCGTACAACTGCTGGCCTAGTGGTAGAGCGTACAACTGCTAGCCTGGTGGTAGAGCGTACAACTGCTGGTCTAGTGGTAGAGCGTACAACTGCTGGTCTAGTGGTAGAGCGTACAACTGCTGGTCTAAGTTCGGATCCCAGACTTGAGTCCGTAGAACGTCCCTGAGCCCACCCAGCTCTGATCAGTACCTGACTCACGTTTGGGAAAGTGTCGGCTGAGCTAACCACACCAACTGTTCATACGCCGCTGTCGCAGAACAAAAGCAGATGAACTCTACTTCGTCTACCTTATGGACCGCCAAGGATCCACTACACTTGTTATAAAAACATTGAATTGATGAGTGACAGTGATTGCAATGCGGATTGAACTAAGACAGTTAAATATCATCCTAGTCATTTCACGACAGTTGAGTTCCTTGTGTGTACACTCTTTAGAACATGACAGAGATTTTAAACATTTCTAGAACATTCAATTTTCACATATACATCATCAGTTCGTTCCTACATCTAATGTAGTCATCGTCTCCCCTTCCCCGCCTCGATGTTATTTATATTTTCCATAGTAATTAATTAAACCAAACATTATGACGTCACGTTTCCACTTCCGGTCCTCAGCTCTGACGTCACGGAGCAGCAGACAGCCCAGCAGGTGGAAGCCGCTGGTCGTCTGCTGGCGTCGCTGCTCAACGTGACCTTCCAGCTGACCTTGGACGACGGTCACGTGGTGCAGTCTGCTGATGACGTCATGTACACCGGCCCAACCTACTTGTGTGACGTAGGTTTCTACTACCGGCGGGGCTCGTGCGGTAGGTTCAAACCTCGGGTTCCGATTGGCTGTTTTCTGTTTGAAATTGAGTCCTTTTATTTTACTACGGGCCGTAACTTTGTTAATTGAATTTCACTTAGTCACCTGACCTGGTTCAGTTGTATCTGACGGCCGTTAACCTTTACCAAAGTCACGTGATCACCCGACCTGGTTATAATATTTATTTTTTTAATATCTGTAAACTGCGCACATTGAGTTGTAACGCTGTCATCAGACGTTCATGATACCCACTTGTTGCTATTATGTTACTCATTTCTGTTGCTGTTACTAGATCTAGCTACTGAATTTTAGTATAACTTGAAAGAGCTTGTCCATAAGATGTGACTACCGTTATAAAACCTACTCCTGTCCTGACACAGTTCACGTTGACGTGACGTTTGAATTACATCATATTATAGTCTACTAGACATTTATGTATTCCCGTAGAGACTCCCTATATCAATGTACTTCCTATTAAACTGTCCATCCCGAATTGAAACATTCAACTTCATGGTGGATATAACAAAGCAACTAAACGAGCTAAATGTAAAACTGCAAGGAAAGGAAAACCCAGCCTACGCATGGCTAGAAGAAAAAGATTGTTTCGAAAAAAAAATGTTTTTGTTGAAGACACGGAGAGTGGTAAATTACCTAAATTTCGAAAAATCGGAAAAATGTGATGAAACTAATGCTACTATTGATATCAAATTACTTCAGCTTACTATAAAGATGGATTCCTGAGAGATTTGAGCAATTCAAAGCAAATGCAAGTACTAAGGAGTTCATAGTAGATCCTCTCAACACAAAAACAAATGAGATTAACATTGAACCATTGGGAACTGATACTGGTTCTACCCAAATGCAATTGCTGGATTTATAAATAACACATTTGTATAGCGGTAATTCACAGAACTCAAGAGCAAGTAAAAATAGTTGAAGGTCCAGTAAAACATGCCCGTTTCCCTGCACCACTGGACAGCTCTAAAAGGAATGCCGCGAGTTTAAGCCCTACTATGTGACGCATGGAATAGTCTTGCAGGATGCTACAGTGAGGTAAAGAAGTTGGCATTTGGAGTGCTGACGGTCTTCGGGTCAACATATTCATGCGAGCCAGCGTTTTCTTGCATGAACATAATATAAAATGTAAAGTAAGAAGCCCAATAACAAATAAAAATCTAGAGGCTTGCTTGAAAATGTAAACAATAATTTATGAGCCAGATTTATATACACATACGTGTATATACTAATTTATATATATATATATATATATATATATATATATATATATATATATATATATATATATATATATATATATATATATATATATATACCTAATCTTAATCAAATATCATAAAATTGATATAAAAATAAAAGTGGTTTTTTTTTAACTGGGAAATTGTGTAAATTGTAGCTTTGGGCTCTTCCGTCTCAAAATGTTGCCGACCCATGCGTTATGTTGATCTTTACGTCTCAAAATGTTGCCGACCCATGCGTTATGTTGATCTTTACGTCTCAAAATGTTGCCGACCCATGCGTTATGTTGATCTTTACGTCTCAAAATGTTGCCGACCCATGCGTTATGTTGATCTTTACGTCTCAAAATGTTGCCGACCCATGCGTTATGTTGATCTTTACGTCTCAAAATGTTGCCGACCCATGCGTTATGTTGATCTTTACGTCTCAAAATGTTGCCGACCCATGCGTTATGTTGATCTTTACGTCTCAAAATGTTGCCGACCCATGCGTTATGTTGATCTTTACGTCTCAAAATGTTGCCGACCCATGCGTTATGTTGATCTTTACGTCTCAAAATGTTGCCGACCCATGCGTTATGTTGTTCTTTACGTCTCAAAATGTTGCCGACCCATGCGTTATGTTGATCTTTACGTCTCAAAATGTTGCCGACCCATGCGTTATGTTGATCTTTACGTCTCAAAATGTTGCCGACCCATGCGTTATGTTGATCTTTACGTCTCAAAATGTTGCCGACCCATGCGTTATGTTGATCTTTACGTCTCAAAATGTTGCCGACCCATGCGTTATGTTGATCTTTACGTCTCCAAATGTTGCCGACCCATGCGTTATGTTGATCTTTACGTCTCAAAATGTTGCCGACCCATGCGTTATGTTGATCTTTACGTCTCAAAATGTTGCAGACCTATGCGTTGTGTTAATCTTTAACATGAAAACACATTGGCAGGGAAGATTATGTCTCATACATCGATATTTATCCTTTTTGTCCTTTCATGTGAGAGGAGCCAAAATTCTATAAAATCTTTATTTTTTAACTGAATAAATGAATTTTAAAAAATCTTAAATGTGCAACATTTATCGCAATAAAGCTACTGTGTTTGTGTACACGTTTAGATTTGTACTACTTTTAAAGTTAATATTTAAAAATTTTAAAACAAAAATAAAAAAGATATAAATTAGTTAACTATCGTTTAATAAAAATGTGTATTCTAATTTTTAAAAAAAAAAACAATTCTTAATTAATTTTATAAGTTTGTCAAACAATTTAGCTTCGCTCCCTTGGTGTTGTAATGTTTATAACGGAGGTAATGAATAACATAAAATAGTCATTTTTTTTAATCAGCTAAAGATTCATATTACTGATGTTAACTTTAACATGATTTCAACCTACTCTTCCTTCACTCACTTAGTCTGTTCACTGTGTCAGCTTGACCCAGCCCCTGACCTTGACCCACTTCCTGACCCTTACTTAACCCCTTAGAATCCATATTGACCTGTAAAGTTTTTCCGTTACCCACAGTTCTCTCTGAGATTGAGTCGGCCTTGACCTTCAAGCCGAGTGTCAAGCTGACCACCCGACCTTTGACCCCGACGGCGGTAGCTCTGGAGTGGGCGTTCCTGGGAGCGCAAGACATTCGTGACGTCACTGGGCTGCAAGTGAGTTGGTCCTCAAAACAAAATCTCGTGTTATGTTCTCATTCACATGTAATCTTGTGAACAAAATGTTCACTAGCTGAAATAAACCAATGAAATAAACCAATGAAATAAACCAATGAAATAAACCAATGCAATAAACCAATGAAATAAACCAATGAAATAAACCAATGAAATAAACCAATGAAATAAACCAATGAAATAAACCAATGCAATAAACCAATGAAATAAACCAATGCAATAAACCAATGCAATAAACCAATGAAATAAACCAATGAAATAAACCAATGAAATAAACCAATAAAATAAACCAATGAAATAAACCAATGCAATAAACTAATGAAATAAACCAATGAAATAAACCAATGCAATAAACCAATGAAATAAACCAATGAAATAAACCAATGTAATAAACCAATGAAATAAACCAAAGAAATAAACCAATAAAATAAACCAATGAAATAAACCAATACAATAAACCAATGAAATAAAGCAATGAAATAAACCAATAAAATAAACCAATGAAATAAACCAATGAAATAAACCAATGAAATAAACCAATGCAATAAACCAATGCAATAAACCAATGCAATAAACCAATGCAATAAACCAATGAAATAAACCAATGAAATAAACCAATAAAATAAAGCAATGCAATAAACCAATGAAATAAACCAATGTAATAAACCAATGAAATAAACCAATGAAATAAACCAATGAAATAAACCAATGCAATAAACCAATGCAATAAACCAATGAAATAAGCCAATCAAATAAACCAATGAAAAAAACCAATGAAATAAACCAATGAAATAAACCAATGAAATAAAGCAATGAACTAAACCAATGAAATAAACCAATGTAATAAACCAATGAAATAAACCAATGAAATAAACCAATGAGATAAACCAATGAAATAAACCAAAGAAATAAACCAATAAAATAAACCAATGAAATAAACCAATACAATAAACCAATGAAATAAAGCAATGAAATAAACCAATAAAATAAACCAATGAAATAAACCAATGAAATAAACCAATGAAATAAACCAATGCAATAAACCAATGCAATAAACCAATGCAATAAACCAATGCAATAAACCAATGAAATAAACCAATGAAATAAACCAATAAAATAAAGCAATGCAATAAACCAATGAAATAAACCAATGTAATAAACCAATGAAATAAACCAATGAAATAAACCAATGAAATAAACCAATGCAATAAACCAATGCAATAAACCAATGAAATAAGCCAATCAAATAAACCAATGAAAAAAACCAATGAAATAAACCAATGAAATAAACCAATGAAATAAAGCAATGAACTAAACCAATGAAATAAACCAATGTAATAAACCAATGAAATAAACCAATGAAATAAACCAATGAAATAAAGCAATGAAATAAAGCAATGAAATAAACCAATGTAATAAACCAATGAGATAAACCAATGAAATAAACCAATGAAATAAACTAATGAAATAAACCAATGAAATAAACCAATGAAATAAACCAATGAAATAAACCAATGAAATAAACCAATGAAATAAACCAATGCAATAAACCAATGAAATAAACCAATGAAATAAACCAATGAAATAAACCGATGAAATAAACCAATGCAATAAACCAATGCAATAAACTAATGAAATAAACCAATGAAATAAACCAATGAAATAAACCAATGAAATAAACTTCCACCAGGTGGAGTACAAGGCCGAGGGCGGGGTACAATGGCTGACCAGCAGCGTACTGGAACCGGAAATGACGTCATACAACATCACGTCCTTGCTCCCAGACAAACAGTTTCTGGCCAAGCTCGTGGCCTTGACCCCGTGGTCAGGCACGGGGAAGTGGACAGTCGGGGAGGTCAGTTTTCTGACCAGTCCCAGACCAAGTGAGTCGGAACATTCCCTTTATACCTCTCATGGTCCCATTGTGAAACATTCCCTTTATACCTCTCATGGTCCCATTGTAAAAGAACGGCAACTCTTCGTCTCATAAAAACCTCAAGAAATAAAACACAGGGGACATAATGTTTCGACCATGGGTCTTCGTCAGAATGTTTGTAATTTTTGTTTACTGTTGCAGGCTACTACAGGTCCCAGCTCCAGGTCAAGGTCAAACAGGTCACGGTCTCAGAGAACTGTGCCTATATCACGTGGGAGCCGTTGACCGAGGTGACGTCACAGCTCAATTCAGTGAACATTGTCTTCAAGATGGCTCAGGACAGTTACTATACCAACAAGTAAGGGGTTAGTTGTAACGACAGTTGCCATAGGAACAAGTTAGGCTTCACGTGTATGTTCACTTTGTGTGTAGAAAAGTATGTGTGTAAGCTGTGTGAGCTTATGTGTATGTCTTTTGTTGTGTATAGGTATGTCAATGCGTTTAACCATGTCCGTGTGTGCTGCTATGTGTGTCTATGTGTAGTTGACTATGTGTGTATTCTGATATGTGTATTTGCCATTGTATGTATGTGTATATGCTGCTAAATGTTAATGTATGTTACTGAATCGTACTAAGAGCAGTTACATTTTAGCACATAGAGATACATATTAATCCGTGTAGAGATAATAAAGCAGAACAACATTTTGAAATTAAGATCAATAGAGCTTTTTTAAGTTGTTAGTGTTTCAACCACAAGCCTCCGTCAGACACACGTTACCTGTATCTCACCTGCAGACAGAAGGTGCCATACAGGAACCAGAGCCAGGTGGAACTGGTCGGTCTCAACTCGGACACGGCTTACGTAGCAGAGGTCAGCGTGTCAGCACGACCTGGCTGGACTGTCTCGTCTGGTGCCATCTACTTCGTCACTAAAGCTAACAGTAAGTCAGACAACAGTCAGACAACAGTCAGACAACAGTCAGACAACAGTCAGACAACAGTCAGACAACAGTCAGACAACAGTCAGACAACAGTCAGACAACAGTAATTTAAAAAAAAAACATTAACTGCAGTTGTTTCCTCTTGACTTAACTATTTCCTGAAAATTTTCATCAGGTCCTCAAATTGTCGATGTTATATATATATATATATATATATATATATATATATATATATATATATATATATATATATATATATATATATATATATATATATATATATATATATATATATATATATATATATATATATATATATATATATATATATATATATATATATATATATATATATACCCCTACCCCTGTCAGCTGCCACCCATAAGATGCCGTCCCCCCACCCGTCCCCCCACCCGTCCCCCCCCCATCATCTGCCACCCATGAGATGCCGCCCCCCACCCGTCCCCCCCCCCCATCATCTGCCACCCATGAGATGCCGTGCCCCCCCCCCCCCATCAGCTGCCACCCATGAGATGCCGTACCCCCCTCCATCAGCTGCCACCCATGAGATGCCGTACCCCCCCCCCCCATCATCTGCCACCCATGAGATGCCGTGCCCCCCCCCCCCATCAGCTGCCACCCATGAGATGCCGTACCCCCCTCCATCAGCTGCCACCCATGAGATGCCGTACCCCCCCTCCATCAGCTGCCACCCATAAGATGACGTGCTTACCCTCCACAGAGAACGTGTCGACTGAGCTGCTTGTCGCCGTCATCATCACGTGCTTCGTCTCCACCATCAGCATCACCGCCGTCGTCGTCACGTGCTTCATGTGGCGCCGCAGCAAGAGGAAAGGGGACGCCACTGGGTTTGAGAACAAAACATTTGGGGTGAGTTGTCGTTCCTTGCTCGTAAAACATTTGGGGTGAGTTGTCATTCCTTGCTCGTAAAACATTTGGGGTGAGTTGTCGTTCCTTGCTCGTCACAAATAACGTGATAGGGCTGACTGTCCACTGCGTCTAGATGGGCATTTAACAATGTTTAATTACAACACCAGTTGTCTTGTTAAAATCTGATAGTTTAGTCCACAACTTAATAACATTTTATTCCTAACATTGTGTAGACATCTAGGTCATGTTAACATTGTGTAGACATCTAGGTCATGTTAACATTGTGTAGACATCGAGGTCATGTTAACATTGTGTACACATCTAGGTCATGTAAACATTGTGTACCAATCTAGGTCATGTTAACATTGTGTACACATCTAGGTCATGTTAACATTGTGTACACCTCTAGGTCATGTTAACATTGAGTACACCTCTAGGTCATGTTAGCATTGTGTACACATCTAGGCCATACTGTGTGCTCTGATTGACAAGCTGTTCCACACATGATTTCAGATTCAAATGGAAAATAACAACATCGAGACCCCTTCGATGACCCCTTCGATGACCCCTTCGATGACCCCTTCAGTCACCCCCACACTGACAACACCAGGCACCGATATGCATAAAGATTTGTGAACCATTAGTAGTATTTTCATCCGTCATATTTACGTCAGTCATCCAGCATATGTTTTATTTACGGCAGGCATCCAGCATTTTATAATGGATGGGAGAGAACCAGCATTGCCCGTTTTTTATAAAAATATGGGCCCATTACAACCTGTCCACACGACATTTTGCCAGCGACATTTGGTCCACACGACATATTTACCAGCGACATTTGGTCTACACGACATATTTACCAGCGACATTTGGTCCACAAACAATTTGTCCCTTGACTTCTGGACCAGAGACATGCTGAGTAGAGTTTGTGTTAAGTTCTCCGACAAATAAGAGGGGGTGTGGCTATAAGCTCCACCCCTTCTTGGTATGTGGCTATAGGCTCCACCCCTTCTTGTTATGTGGCTATAGGCTCCACCCCTTCTTGTTATGTGGCTATAGGCTCCACCCCTTCTTGTTATGTGGCTATAGGCTCCATCCCTTCTTGTTATGTGGCTATAGGCTCCACCTCTTCTTGTTATGTGGCTATAGGCTCCACCCCTTCTTGTTATGTGGCTATAGGCTCCACCCCTTCTTGTTATGTGGCTATAGGCTCCACCCCTTCTTGTTATTTGGCTATAGGCTCCACCCCTTCTTGTTATGTGGCTATAGGCTCCACCCCTTCTTGTTATGGGGCTATAGGCTCCATCCCTTCTTGTTATGTGGCTATAGGCTCCACCCCTTCTTGTTATGTGGCTATAGGCTCCACCCCTTCTTGTTATGTGGCTATAGGCTCCACCCCTTCTTGTTATGTGGCTATAGGCTCCACCCCTTCTTGTTATTTGGCTATAGGCTCCACCCCTTCTTGTTATGTGGCTATAGGCTCCACCCCTTCTTGTTATGTGGCTATAGGCTCCACCCCTTCTTGTTATGTGGCTATAGGCTCCACCCCTTCTTGTTATGTGGCTATAGGCTCCACCCCTTCTTGTTATGTGGCTATAGGCTCCACCCCTTCTTGTTATGTGGCTATAGGCTCCACCCCTTCTTGTTATGGGGCTATAGGCTCTACCCCTTCTTGTTATGTGGCTATAGGCTCCACCCCTTCTTGTTATGTGGCTATAGGCTCCACCCCTTCTTGTTATGTGGCTATAGGCTCCACCCCTTCTTGTTATGTGGCTATAGGCTCCACCCCTTCTTGTTATATGGCTATAGGCTCTACCCCTTCTTGTTATGTGGCTATAGGCTCCACCCCTTCTTGTTATGTGGCTATAGGCTCCACCCCTTCTTGTTATGTGGCTATAGGCTCCACCCCTTCTTGTTATGTGGCTATAGGCTCCACCCCTTCTTGTTATGTGGCTATAGGCTCCACCCCTTCTTGTTATGTGGCTATAGGCTCCACCCCTTCTTGTTATATGGCTATAGGCTCTACCCCTTCTTGTTTTGGGTTCAAAAACTTTTCCTGTGGATTTCTCTGAAGTTGTTTATTGCCTCTACATTTTTTTCAATATTTCGTCGAACTGTTCACAATTTCAAGCGTGCTTTGGACAATTGGATATACATGATCCATAGACATTCGTGCTACTTTAGTACTGGATATGTTCTGGGTACATGTTCTCCATTAAATGGTCTGTTTGAAACAGATTAATATGTGAATAATTTTTAAATCCAGTTCGGTCGTTTTAAAGGATACAATCAGACTTTGACTGACGTTTTTAAGGCCGAAGTTTTCAGACGTATGTCTGAGCTGTCTCCTGTCACCTGCATTGTCTGACTGTCAACTCTCTCAGTGAAAGACCTAAACAAAAGTGAGATTGGCTACCAAGGGATATATTCAATGTTTAACTCATTGACTACCAAGGGATATATTCAATGTTTAACTCATTGACTACCAAGGGATATATTCAATGTTTAACTCATTGACTATCAAGGGATATTTTCAATGTTTAACTCATTGACTACCAAGGGATATATTCAATGTTTAACTCATTGACTACCAAGGGATATAGTCAATGTTTAACTCGTTGACTACCAAGGGATATATTCAATGTTTAACTCAACATTGCAAGAGTTTTCGCACCTTAACAGACGACCTCGAGACTTGATGGGATTTCCTGTCGTGTTCATTAACTAATAATAATTGTAATGTAATTAAGGTCATCATTCCATTTTCATTGTTTACAACTGTATCACGTGTTTATGTAAGGTTTGCTTTATTGTTTATAATTGTCCCACGTGTCTTTAATTAACATTTGGTTAAATTAATTCAACTCTGATGCATGCTGTCTATTTAGCTAGAAGCCAATGTTATTGTCCTCTGATATTTGTGAGTGACGTCACTATTTTTGGTGTATTTTATGTGTACACGTCATGATTTTATGTCCACTGGTCATGTCTATATGTCAAATCTAGAATTCAGTTCAGTCAGTCAGACCCAGTAAGGTTTGCAGATCTGTAGGTCATGAGGTCAGCAAGACATTAACACGAAGGTCCTTGATCCATTAGGTCAAGATACATCCAGTTTGTGAGAATAAAAAACTAGGAATGTGTTCAATTCTAAGGCCGTTGAGACGAATTCTATCCCAAACTAGAAGTTTCTAGAAGATGCTAGTCTATGTTACTGCTCACAGATCGCTCGGCCTCTGGGTCAGCAAACATCGTCATAAACGTCGCTGTCGTCTACGTGATGTTGTAGAGCGAAGATAACACAGTCTATAAGATAGACACATGGTGTTAACAATAATTATTTATATATTTTTTAAATTTATATATATATATATATATAGCTATATATATATATATAGCTATATATATATATATATATATATATATATATATATATATATATATATATATATATATATATATATATATATATATATATGTATATATAATATTCTTGCAGGAGCTTTTTTTGTACTAGTGCATTGTAACCTTGCCAGTTGTTGTAGTTGTACTTTTTATCAAAAATGTGTTTCCTGGTGCTGCTACAAGATATTATAATTCATGTATGTGTGTCCTTCTTGTGTCCATGTGTGTCCATATGTCTGTTCTTGTGTATATGTCGGCCATATGTGTGTTCGTGTGTCGGCCATATGTATATGCGTGTTATGTATGTTAATCCAGAGCTTTCGTAACAATCACATCACGTGACGGACCACGTGACTGTACAAAGGTCCTACAGGACATTTCCGGGTCAGGTCCTCCTGGGCCGCTGAGGACATGAAACTGACACGTGATCCCATTACTTTTCTACGTGATCCGAGTAATGATCCACGTGACACATGTAATGATCCACGTGACACAGGTAATGATCCACGTGACACAGGTAATGATCCACGTGACACAGGTAATGATGCACGTGACACAGGTAATGATCCACGTGACCTGGCTAATTAGAAAACAATGTGTACATATATAATCTAGATCTATATAAGCCTAAGTTCACTCAGAGAGTTCAATGCAAAGTTTGTCATTATAAAACACATTTTCTACAGATTAAACCGTTGTGTAAACTAAAAGATTGCTGTGTTCTTTGTTTTTAATTTCGTATTGGTTGGCTTTATTTAAGTGAATGCTAGTTGATCGTGCGCATGTTGACATGCAGTAAAAGATGGTCACGTGATTCCATGCAGTGAAAAGTGGTCACGTGATTCCATGCAGTGAAAGATTGTCACGTGACACCTTGAAACACCGATTGATAAGACATTTGATGATTTGCTGGATTTTGTGATGAATAAATTTTTTTTACAAGCTTTCATTTAACAGTCTGTCTGTTTGTTTGTCTGTTTATTTGGGTACACAAAAAGATGCGCAATAGAAAAGCGCAACGGAAAAAAGCGCAAAAAAAAATTGCGCAACGGAAAAAAAAAGCGTAAACAGAAAAAAGGACACAGAAAAAAAACGGAAAAAAAATCGCAAACAGAAAAAAGTGCTAACGGAAAAAAACAATTTTAAGTATTAAAATGGATAGATATTAAGAGTTCAAATAAACTAATTTATATTTCATTAGATAAATAATGCCAATAAATAAAATTTCGTACAAAACAAAATAAAAATGTTTATTTAAAGAAGGAAATGTGAAAACCAATTTAATCCTAGTCAATACACTTTTTTACTGTTCATATCTTTCAAGTAGATAAAAGGGAAAACTTTTTTTCAGCGCTGAAGGGGAATTTATTAAACATTTCTTTTTAATTTCCTAAGTTAGCTCTCTTTGTCTTCTTCTTCTTCTTCTTCGTTCTTAATAGCTCTCTTTGAATTTCAATGTTACAAGAAAAAATAAAAAATTTACGGTCAAAGGGGAACAACCATGAAAAAGGGTTATCTCGCTTGAATATATTTTTTTGAAATACTTACATTTTTTTATTAAAATTAGTATATTTATTAACATTTTTAAGTATTACAATTAAGTACACACATTTATATTTCACAAGATAAATTATTGCCAATAATTAAAATTTTTAACAAAAAACAATATAAAATGTTGAAGTAAAAAAGGAAAATTTAAGAACTAATTTAATCCTATTCAAAACACTTTTTTCTCTTTACTGTTCATGTCTTTCGAGTAGATAAAAGCGAAAACTTTTTTTCATTGCTGGAGGGGAAATTATTAAGCATTTCTTTTTAATTTCCTAAGTTAGCTCTCTTTAATTTCCAATGTTACAAAAAAAATATGAAAAATTTACGGTCAAAGGGGAACAAACATGAAAAAGGGTCACCTCGTAGTTTAGCCTTAGTTATCTCGCTTGAATATATTTTTTGAAATATCTACTTTTTTAATTAAAATTAATATATTTATTAACATTTTTAAGTATTACAATGGATAGATATTAGTAGTTTTAAGTACACACTTTTATATTTCATAAGATAAATTATTGCCAATAATATAAAAGCGAAAACCTTTTTTCATTGCTAGAGGGGAAATTATTAAGCATTTCTTTTTTAATTTCCTAAGTTAGCTCTCTTTGAATTTCAATGTTTCAAGAAAAAATAAAAAATTTACGGTCAAAGGGGAACAAACATGAAAAAGGTTCACCTCGTAGTTTAGCCAGGGTTATCTCGCTTGAATATATTTTTTTAAATAATAACTATTTTATTAAAATTAATATATTTATTAACAATTTTAAGTATTAAAATGGATAGATATTAAGAGTTTAAATAAACTAATTTGTATTTCATTAGATAAATAATGCCAATAAATAAAATTTAGTACAAAACAAAATAAAAATGTTTATTTAAAGAAGGAAAATGTGAAAACCAATTTAATCCTAGTCAATACACTTTTTTACTGTTCATATCTTTCAAGTAGATAAAAGGGAAAACTTTTTTTCATTGCTGGAGGGGAAATTATTAAACATTTCTTTTTAATTTCCTAAGTTAGCTCTCTTTGAATTTCAATGTTACAAAAAAATATGAAAAATTTACGGTC